AAAAGAAAAAGGCAAAAAACAAAAAAGTAGTACAAATGGCCAGTGGGTACGTGAAAAGATGTTCAGCATCTTTGGCTATTACAGAAACATAAATCAAAACAACACTGAGATTCCATTTTACTCCAAAAACAATGGCTATCCTCAAGGACTCAAAACACAAATGCTGTCAAGGTTGGGGATGGGAGAGAAAGGAACCCTTCTACACTGTTGGCAAGAAATTAAACTAATAAAAACACTATGGGAATCGGCATGCAGATGCCTCAAAAAAAGTACAGAAATCCCATTTGACCCAACTATTCCCCTTCTGGGCATCTTTCCAAAAGAGGTAAAGACATCACATTACAATGAAACATGCATACACTCATGTTTATAACAGCACAACCCATGCAGCTGAATCTTGGAAATGGCCTTTATATCTATCAACAGATCAATGGATAAAGAAAATGTGACATGCATACACAATGGAAAATATTTCACCATAAGTAAGGATAAATTTGAGACTTTTGAAGGAAAAGGGATATACCTTGTGACCATAATGCTAAGTGAAATAAATCAGACACAGAAAGTTTAATACCATATCACATGGTTTCTTTTATGTGAGAAACCCAAGGTACAGATAATTTAAAGAGCAAAATGAAAGAGAAATCATAGGAAACAAGGAGATACGACTTTTGGAGGAAGTGGACCTAAAGAGGGGGGTAGTGTTTCAAAAAGAATGGACAATAAATATGTACATGTACCAAATCTCCATGATGGATGTATTCATTATATAACCCAAATACACACTAATAAAAAAAGGCAGTGTCTCTTCAAAGCTATGAAATGATTTGGCACTGAAAAGTTACTGCACACAAAAGCACAAAAAGAAAATAGGGTGATTTTCACGAGGATGGCACCAAAACCAAAGAAGGAAGTTTCCATCCTTCCCAGCATGAAAAGCAATGCAAAACCTTTGAAGGTCAAGGAGACAGTGTTGAAAGGCATCCTCCAGAGCCACAACGGAGAGACAATTCATGCCATCCACTTTCCAGCAGCCCAACACATTAAGGCTCTGGCCACAGCTCAAATGACCTCAGAAGAGCATCCCAGGGGGAACAAGCTTAACCTCTATGCTGCCTTCAAGCTCCCTTGACCGCTTAGTCTGTTGTGAAGATGCAAGGTGCCACACTATGTTTACTGTGCATGCCAAGGCCATGAAACATCACATCACGCAGGCTGTGAAGAAGCTGTATGACACGGCTGGGGCCCGGGTCAATACCCTGACCAAGCATGAGGCAGGAAAGGCATACGACCACTGGCTCCTGCATGTGATGCTTGGGGTGTGGCCAACAAAGTTAAGACCATTCCAGGTGAGTCTAGCTGGCTGATTCTAAATATACATTTTTTTCATCATTTAAAAAAAATAGGAGCAGGATATATATTAGATATTAGTGAAACAAATATTTACAACAATATTTAACAAACACAGTCAATATTTTGAATTGTGATTTGACGCTGTGATTCCATCCTCTAACAGGACCAATGATAGGAAAAAATCTGTAAGAAGAGAAAACTGTGTTAACACATGTTATGACAATAGATGCAAAGATAAAAGTGCCTGTAATAAACCAGTACAACTGATGGAAGGAGAGATTGCCAATTTCCTCAGAACACATACACCTCAGAGGTAAGAGGCGTGTGTGACTAATTCATGAATCATCAGGACTATTGGGGAAAGCACTGTATTTGACTGCCAATGTTTTGCATCTCGGTGCATGAACTAACGTTGCTTCTTACACCTTACCGCATCCTGTATGCATCTGTGTACAGTGGGATACTCTACCGGCAGATCCACCATGTACAAATATGGAGAGATCCTGAAGGCAGATTACAAAATTACAAAAAGAAGAAATCAGTAATATAACTTTTTTTTTCTTTTACTAGCATTGGTACCTTTATGTTTTAAGGGGAAGGTGGAGACACAGAGCTCAGAATTAGTCTTCATTTATGGAACCCTGAGCTACCAGCAGCTGGCATAGTAATCACTAAGGAAAGAACTGACCCATTGACTACAGTGATGGGACAAAGTGATTTCCATAGGGAGAAAACTCTCAACTTCCCAGAGTTCATGTCCATACAGATCTCACTGAAGTGGAACAAGAAAACTTTAAAAACAGACAAATGATCTCAAAGTAAGAAATAATTTCTTTAAAACACATGATCATCACAAAACATAAACAACATATTTATACTGAAAGTAAGTAGTTCTCGTTATCAGGACACTGGTAGCCAAGTGACAGAGGCAAGACAGACAAAACAAAGCCACACAAATGCATTTACCAAAGGATTTAACTCACACTGAAAGTTAGTTGTGATGCATAATCCAACAAAGCATTTATATTCAGACTACACACAAAATTAAAAAGACAACCTCATTTTTTAAAAAAACAAGACTTCCTAAGAGCACTTCATATATTGGTATAAATCTGTCACGTATAGCTCAGGATAGGAAGCTGCTAGCTCAAAGAAGGAATGTAAACAGACAAAAGCATATAGGAGAACAAGACAAGGAAGAACCCAGTGGCCCACCAAAATCCCGTCTTCACCCTGCTCACTCTTACGGACTGTTTTGCCACAGCGCTGACCTCCAGGTTCCAATACACACACGCTCAGGCTTTGCATGGTGAAGGGCGGACTTGTTCATCAGACTCTGAGCTCCCAGAGAGCAGCGAGGCAGTGCCTACTCAGCACTTTATCCCTAAACCCAGCACAAGGGCCAACAATGAGAGGCTGCAGCAAGGAGACCTGGAGCACTTGGGCTCTTACTTCATCTCTTTGGATCCCCATGCCCTTGTCCTTAAGATAAGGCAGCAGCCGCTACTCAGAGCTGTCTGAGTCGGTACCGAGCACACTGCTGGCAATCAGCGTAGCGGTATCGTGCCAGTCGATGGTGATGACAACAGATCCTAGAGCCACGGTGCCAGAAAGATGCAAGCTTCTCTGAAAAGCCAGTGTTCTTGGGGTGAAACACAAGATGGACCTCTTGCTGGCCAAAAATTATATCGTATAATTAAATATCTTATAAATTGTTCTTTGGAGCATTTTAGGGAATAGGGAATAGAAATGACACTGAAGAAATTGGGGGGGGGGGAGGGAGACAGAAGTCCAGAGTAGAAAACTATGCAGCAGTGAAGTGTGCTGGTTAGAGACACATATAATGACCTGGATAGAACTGAGAAGCAAGGCTGAGAGAAAAATGAAAAAAATGAGATTGGTAAGACAATAACTCTTTATATAAAATTACAGGCATGCAAGAGAGAACTCAGAAACACAAACCAAAAGAATATTCATTCAGTACATGACAATATTTTCTAAAGGGAAAAGAGGAAATGAAAGAGGTGAATGAAGTTAAAAGGGAATTTTCTAAAAAGGCAACAAAGTGAAAAGAGATTCAGAAAAATTAATTCACAAAACCCAACATCCACCCATGACTGAAATTCTTTTTTTTTTGGCTTTTTCATTTTCTCATTTTTTTACCAGTACCAGGGATTGAACTCACGACTGCCTGCTTTCGAGGCAGGTGCTTATGCCGCTGAGCTAAATCCCCAGCCCCTGACTGAAATTCTCAACAAATTAGAACACACATATCTCAGATTGGATAAGTACGGCTGAGAAGTATTTTGAGATTAGAAACAATGTACAATTAGTAACAATTACTAACAATTTCTTTAGAAATTGATTTTTCCAAGCTGGGCGTGGTGGCTCACGCCTGTAATTCTGGCACTCAGAAGGCTGAGGTGGGAGGATCGTTTAGAGTTCAAGACCAGCCTGGGCTACGAAGTGAGCTTAAGGCCAGCCTGAACTGCATACAGAGACTCTATCTCAAAAAAGACAAGAAAAACCCTGATTTTTTCTAGCATAAAGTTAAAAAAAAAACAGTAAAGATTTAATAAAATTGAAATATCAAAAACTTAAGGAAGTAGGTCACTTTTTAATTACCTCAATACTTCAAAATTTACTAGGGAGGATATTATTCATGAAATTTATTATCTAGACTCTTAGTAGTCTTTCTTCCAAAAGGCATCCAACAATGCCAAAGAACCCTTTAGGTATTTATTCTGTGGGTGAACATAATTCTTTTCTTTTCACATTCATAAAGCATAGGAGACAATCTGGTAACCAAACAATAACTAGGAGAGAACATAACAGCTAGACCAAAGCAAAAGCTCTGCCTCCTTTTCTAATTCTTGAAGGAGTCCGTGTGGCCCATGCCCTTAAATTGCCATCCTTGTTTCATCCCCTTCTGTCACCTAACCCGCAGTATCACCCACTCTCCATGAGGCCACAACTGCCCATCCATTCAAGAAGCCACAAGTCTCTACAAACACACTCACCTGCCCAAATGCCCCTGGCCACCCCAGCCCAGCCCAGGCCTTCTACTGCAAGGGAATACGACCAATAGACCACAGCCCGCTAGAGTTCAAACCTGCCATTCCAGCTCCTTCCATGCCTTCCCCAGCACCCCACTGTGGACTCTACTGCCAGCATGTTCTATTCGGAAGGGAACCTCTATTCCCACTTTTTAACCAAGAAACCGCAAGACTTCAGGAAAATGAAAATAAAAATTAGCAGCTCTCCCTGCCCAGCGTTTCTAACCCAGGATGGGAAGCATCACATTTCCCAGGTTGAAGAAAAAAACAGTTCGTCTTGGGCTGGGGAAAGCAGACAGCATTGTCCCTTTCTCATTCAGGTACTCATCTGTGGCTGCTTTAGAACTAAAATGGCAGTGCTGAGCATCTCGGACAGGAACCATACGGAGCCCCAATATCTAACATGTTTGCTACCTGGCTTTTCACAGCAAATGTTTACTACCCTTGGTCTTAACAACCAGGAGGAAAAAGCCATTGATGATGCTGTTGGGAAGGGAAACTACTTCAAACTACATACCGAGAGTCTCAAGTAAGAATAAACAATGTTAACCTCCCCACCAACACACCCCAAAACAGAGAAGTACTTCGTACCTCGGTCCCGATGAACGTGGGACGAATATATAGACTAGCAGCAGTGGAATAGGGGACCCATTCTTGATCCAAAGACACAAGCTGCTGGATACACTGTAGAAGCTCTTCCTTGTCAAATACCTGCAAGAATGAAAACTGAGTGAATGATGACCTTTATCCCCAAAATGGCATAAAGAAATAAATGATCCTTGCAGGGGCTCCTGAAAGGGAAAGGGAAGTATTTTCTAGACAGCTAAAACCTGCATTTTCTCAGATTACAGTCTTAATTTTGCCCCAGATGTATGTGTGTATATGTGTGTGCATATAATGAAAAATGTGGCCCCCCAAATTATGGAATTATGAACTACCCATACAGGAAAGATATGATATTAGATCCTTACCTTTTACCATAACCACAAATCAATTTTACTCGGATTTGGTACCTAAATGTGACAAAATATTATTAAGAATTTTATTACAACATACTGAAGATCTGTAACCTTAAGACAGGAAAAGATTCTTAAGCATTAAGAAAATGATCAAACAATCAACCAAGGAAAGCACAAACTGTTCTTTTTGATTTTTAAGTCAGACGTGTAAGATACAAATCATGAAAAGGAGAAAATGAACAAAGTTTGCCTTCAGTATAAAAACTTTCATTCTTCACTAGATTTAAAAGTAACAAGTTGGATGAAGATATAGGTAACATATCAAGGACATAGTTAGGATGTGTTAAGATGTCCTGAACGTCAGGTTACCTAAAGGAAAAACAACAAAAAGCAGTTTATTTCTAAAGAGAAAAGGGATTTTCATATCTTAGACAAGTGACAAGTTTACAAAATTATTCATGTAGTTTCTCTTCAGTTGCAGGACTGAGATATTATCAGCAATATGATGCGATTTCCCAGGCAGAAATGTGTCATAAACAAACAGAATGGAGCTTATGACACCTGGATCTACCGGTTAAAATAATAATCAGCAATCATAGTATAGTATAAAGTTGGGCCTGCCAATAATGTAGATGAAAAATGAACACTGTATCACTTGCTTAGGTCTCTGGTACTGCTCCTCTACAGATAAAATTTAGTGAATTTAGTAAAAGAAGAATTTGCTTTGGATTCTAATGGCCTAGATCTAATTTCTCGCCCAATCTCTTAAATAATGTGTGACCTGGGTAAGTCATTTATCCCAATTGGAGTTTAAATTTTCTTCTCTTACAAAGTTACTATTAACCTTATAACACATCTGGACAGCAGCTTACTGCTAGGATTAAATAGATAAGGAATGAGAAAACACACAACACAGTTCATGGCAGAACTGATGTCCTATGAATGTCACTTCCTATCCGTTAGGCCCAATTTTAAAGCTCCCCCTAATTATCTACCAGTAATGGCAAGAAGTGTGAAACCAGGACCTCAGCCAATGAATGCCGTTTAATTTTCCTCTGCGACTATAGTAAGGCTTGTTTAGATGGTTAGTACAGCCTATGTTATAGAAAAAGGGAAAGAAAGGAAAAGCTTGACCAAAAAGATGCTCAGAGGGAGCTCTCTTCAGTGGATAAGTTCCCTTGGCCAAGACTCAGAGGATGAGTTACACAGAATTTTACAAAAGAAAGAATGGATTTTGCTCTGTTCAGAAAAGCAACTCAGCCACATCTCAGGAAGGTAGGTGATGTGAGTCACCCCCTAGTGAGATACAAATTTTAGTGTCTAAATCTAACCCATTTAATAATGAATTCTGACCCATGATAAGTTATAGACATGATCTGGCCATTAAAAATGACATGGCCATTAAAAAGAAAATCTTTAAATATTCTTTGCAAAACAGTGCTTGGGATACAATAATTATTATCTTATTGATTACTTGCTAGCATCCAAAGCAATTAGGCAAAATGTCCCCAAAAAATGCCATACACTTTCCATTTTCAGCATCATAATTTCATGGGGCCTTTATGGTTTGCAACATATTTTCCCTCCTTACCTTTTTATCTCTCACATATTCATTAATTTCCCAGACCCTAGTAAAGAAGCAGAAATGCTGTGGAATTGCCAAACAGTATTGGCTATTTCCTTATATGTTACTCTGCTAACTGAAATAAATCAGAAATAGCTTCAATGTTCATATGGTTTGCACTGAATACTGATCTGATTATTTAGAAATCTTAGTTTTGTTTTGATTTAGCAATATTGGGGTTTGAATTCAGAGCCTTTGCACTCAGGTACCTCTCCGTCCTTTAAAATTTTTTTCATTTGGAGATAGGGTCTCACTAATTTGCCTAGGCTGGGCTTGAACTTGTGATCCTCCTACCTCGCCCTGCCAGAGTGCTGGGATTACAAGTGCCCAATTTAGAAATCATATTTTTTAAGAGAAAATGATTTTTGTGAGACATTGTCACAAGTGAATAAGAGTTTATAGTGACAAGAAGCTAAATAGAATCCTAATGTGGTCCTGGAACATCCAAGAGACATTAGGTAAAAACTTTTGAATGCACGATTATCTTTCATTCATAATACAATACAGTATTAATACTGGTTTCTTAACTGTGAAAATGTACCATATTCAGTAAAATGTGAATTATAGGGAAAGTGAGGTAAAGTAATGGGAATTCTATTATCTGTAAATATTCTATAAATTTAAAATTATTCTGGTAGCCTAGCAAGCGTGAGGTCATGAATTTAATTCCCAGTACCAAAAATAAACAAGTAAGTAAATGTTATGGTTTATATCAGATGGTCCCCCTAAGTCTCATGTAATCATGGATGAGGCTGAATCTAGCGTTCATGATTGGTTCTTGTCTAGTACTGGAAGAGGCAGTGTGGGTGCTACCGTCACCCAGCGGTAGAGTCAGCATACAGTGTAATGGTGGGAAGAAGGCATGCCTCTCTCTTCTTCCCAGTTTGCACTTGCTGTTTTGTGACTGCCATGAACTGAACCCCTCTGCCATGTCATTTTGCCCTGGAACCAACTGTGTATGGACTAAAATCTCCAACCTGTAAGACATAAACCTTCCCTTCCCTAACTTTTGGGCATCAGGTATTTTGTCTCAACAACAAGAGAAAAAAGTAACTAAGAAGTAAATAAATAAATAAAATTATTCTAGTTGTAAACAGTGATGTGTATTTTAGAAAAACAAGGGCTGGGGGTTTAGTTCAGTGGTATAAGCACCTGCCTGGCAAGCGCGAGGTTGTGAGACTGATCCCAGGTACAAAAAACAAGAAAAACAAAACAAAACTTGTTTCTTTAATAGATAACAATAATAATAATAAACTCAGGATGACCCATTAAATGAAAAGAAACACAACAGAAATCCTAAATATACCTACCGGCAAAGTTGCCCTCACGGCTGATCGATACATCCTTTCCAAGTTGAGGTTTGGCCGAAACAGCCGAATTTTATTATCATGTCCTCGATATGCCTTCAAACCTTCAAACAACTGCAGATAAACAAGAAAGAAATCTTAGTGGGTAACTAAATGAAAACAGCTCCTCTGATCAAAAGACTGACGCTTCTGTGGGCCCTCATCTCATTCATCCTTGACACTGCCTTCCACCTGAGATCATTAAATCAGGTGACAGAAAAGTTATAGTAATTGGAAAAATAAGTCTTTTGTTTACCAGAATCTAGTGGGAATCCAGGATTCTCATTTGCCTGCAGGGGCCACACCACTAACTAACACATTGGTGGCCGTGGGGAGAAAACACTGGAAATCGCACAATCTAGTCAACTGTGCAGACAATGGAGGTTAAAAACCAAAGGCTCAGTGGCATCCAGCCCCCTCAGATGTACCTGTGTGTCTTGTCTTTTCATTTAAATGGGTTTGTCCACGGTCTGATGAAACTTTTAGAGCTTTCAATGATGCAAACAGCCCGCTGCAGCATGCGGCCATAGGTTCACCACCATGGTCTAGGTGGGATATTGTGGATTATATCTAGAACATCCTTCAAATATCTTGCTTTTAGAGTTGGGACTTTTAAAAGCAGCTGGATTACAAATTCACCATACACAACAGTGAACTGATCTCATGAATCAGTTTATGGCTGAATGTGCTGTAAGGACGTGGTGGCCTGGGTGAGAGTAGTCTCCCTCTCCGGCTCCTCCCTTTTCTCTCTACTTTCTGGCTGCTACAAGGTCTCCTCCACCGTGGCCTTGCACCATGCTGTTACTGCACTGCAGCCAGCCAACCACAAGCTGAATCCCCCAAAACCTGGAGCCAATTAAACTTCTCCTCCTTTAAATTGTGGGTGTTGGAAGATGTATCTCAGCGACAAAAAGCTAACCAATATAATAGCAGATAATCTATGTGTAACCAGATCTAGTTCAGTCCAAATCATAAAAATAAGGTAGCAGAAGAGCATACAATGTTAAGGCTGTGCCATCTTCTGCAAAGTTCTGGCCCAGGCTGGGCAGGGATGGGAAAAAGATTCCGATGGGAAAAGTACCCATATGGATAAATATAGAGAAAAAAAAAAAAAAAAGAAAAGAAAAACTAGTATCTTTAGTGAGAAATTTTATCATAGGCACTCTTAAGTAATCAATAGAACAAACCAGTTAAAGGTCAATAAAGACAGAAGATTGGAACAACCAGAACAAACTTACCTAACAGCCTGACAGAACCCTATTCATGCCACCTGCAGAACACATATTCTTTCTACAGGCTTTCCAAACACAAGGTAAGCCAGAAATCAACGTCAAAGTATAACCAGAAAATACTCACACTTTTAAAAAGATAAGAAACCCATTACTAAATAAATTGTCAGTCAGAGAAGAAATATAATGGAAATTCAAACATGTATTGAACTTTTAGTGAAAAGTAAGGTCTTTAGGTAAAGTCTATCATCACATGAAAAATAAAAAGAAATACAAATCCTATAGTACAATTAAAATGCACAAAAGTATATTTTAGATATATTTCACATATATTATTAATTCATTAAACATAAGCAGGGTAAAGCTTCAGTTAAAAGGAACGTAGTCAAATTGGACTCAGCAGGTAACATCTGAAACAAACAGATACCACCCAAATGCTTTCTAAAATAAAGCTGGTGAAGTTCTACTACTAAATGTAAAACAAAACAAATTATAAAACCAACATGAGCATTATTTAAGATAAAGAAATCTGCTTCATAAGGTTCCATTTACTTCACAAGTTCAAAACTCTATACATTTAGAACGGCCTATTACAAAAAGATTTAAAAATAAATATTGCCAAGGATGTGGGGTACACAAACTCATGTGAAACGTACCTGAGCACAGACGTTATGGTAAATAATACACAAGTTTCTCAAAAAATTAAAACTGAACTACCATAGGACCCAGCAATCCATCTATTGAACAGCTGCCCAAAAGACACAGAAGACCACTGGTCACAACATCCAGGACACAGAGTCAGCCTAAGTGTCCATCAACAGAGGAATGAATAAAAGAAATGTGACATATAAAATGGACACTGGTAAGCCTTAAACATAAAAGGAAATTCTATCATTTTGACATACTGACAACATGGGTGAACTCCGATGTTGGGTCAACCTATGCATACCACTGTGATCCATTACATTAATAACTTAGATAGAAAAAAAATTATATGGTCATCTCATTAGATACAGGAAATGAAGCTGATAAAACTGCATATTCATTAGGAGTTTTTAAGTTTCCTAGGTAATTGAAGAGAAATGGAGGGCTTTCTTAAGTCAAAATTGATAATGATGATAAATTCTGAGACAACATTATGAATGGCAAAGACACAAAATACTTGCCCTTCCAAATTAGGAACATCAAAAGTTGCCTGCTGCAATCACTTTAATTGAATACTGTATATTTGGTATAAGGCAACTATGAAATAAAAAAATAGAAGGTTTGCCGGGCATGGTGGCGCATGCCTGTAATCCTAGCACTTGGGAGGCTGAGACAGGAGGACTGCTGTGAGTTCAAGGCCAGCCTGGGCTTCAAAGTGAGTGCAAGGCCAGCCTAAATTGTATAGTGAAACTCTATCTCAAAAAGACCAAAGCAAGTTAATTAAATAAATCTTAAAAATAAAAATAGAAGGTTTGGAGGAGAAAAAATAAAGATTATGGAATAGGTGATACGAATAAATATGTAGAAAACCTGACAGATAATCTTTTAGGCAAGGTGGCCAATTCCAAATTATGTTAGTGTGTAGGAGTGGTAGTTAAAAAAAAAATAAAAACACTGTTTACATTAGACTTATAAATCAGGAATACTTAGTATGGGGAGGTATCTAACAAAAGACAATGGAAGGAAGGCACGGTGGTGCATGCCTATAATCTCAGCTACTCAGAAGGCTGAGGCAGAAGGATTATAACTTGAAGCCAGCATGAGCAGTTTAGCAAGAATCTGTCTCAAAATGAAACAAAAGATGAGAGGGGGGTGGTTTAGAGTTACCCTAAATTCAATCTCCAGCATCACTAGAAAAAAAGAGAAAGATATTTTAAACATATATTGACAAAGGATCCATATTCAAAATATTACACAAAAATAGGCTAAACCTCTTCAGAGAAGTAATGTCACAATGACGTAACATTACACCAGACTGAAAAATTCTTTTAAATCTTTCTATATTCAGATGGCGAGGAATGTTGGACAACAGAAACACTTACTCATGGCTGGTGAGTATAAAAATGGGTAAAAGCAATGAGGGGAAAGAGTTTTTGCATTTCTTTTAAAACTCCAGCAAGTGTTAGGTGGCACACATCCATAATTTCATCACTTGGGAGACTGAGGCAGAAGTCTCCACCCAGAAGTTCAAGGCCAGCCTGGGCTGCATAGTGAGACTCTGTCTCAAAAAAGCCAAAAAACTAAACAAACAAACAAAAACAAAAATCAAGCTATATCCTAGAACCAGCAGTATTATTCTTAAGTATATTCTTAAGCAGAAGCTTCAAACTTTTTGGTCTCAGGAAATCTTTAAAAATTATGAAGCCCTCAAAGAACTTTTATCTATGTAATTAATCAGTATTTACCATATAAGGAATTAGATGTGTTGCATTTAAAATGTATTTTATTTATTATTTACAATAATGAACCATGATGTTAATCTATTTCTTGAAACTTATCTTTTCTGAAAGATTTAATGATACACCCGGCACTGTTTCAAGTCATTTCAAATCTTTAAAGTTTGGCTACAGAGACAGCCACGTTCTTCAATCTGCTTCTGCATTTACCCTCACAGGAGGTTTCTTTGTTTGCAGAACATGAAAAAAACTCCACCTCACACAATTTGCCACCGAGAAAGGAGAAAATCTCTCCTCCTCCCTTCTTTTCTTCTGGTCGTGGGGACTAAGCAAGCCCAGGGCTATGTTCCCAGCCCTTTTCTTATTCTGAGACAGGATGCTCAGTGACCCAGGCTGGGCTTGAACTTGCCATCTTCCTGCCTCAGTTTCCCTGAGTGCCAAGATTACAGGCTGTAGGGAGCCGAGTGACAGGCATTGCTGCCTCGATGTCTCTCTCTCTCCTATGGGCACTGCGTCTGCCTACACTAACCATAATCCTCTCCTGCTTACGTCACGTATCCGGATGTGATGGTGACCCTGTTGTATTCATCTGTTTAACCTCTTCCTGTCCCAGTTCCCGCCCTTAGCCTATAAAAGGTGTGATTATTTTCTGAATAAACCGGAAGCTTGGTCGGATTATTTCGTCTTGCTTTCGTCTCTCTTTTGTCTCCCCTATGTCTTTTATTTAATCCCCGTTTCCCCTCCAGGAGTTCTGAACTTGTTGATCTGCAGGCCGGATCAAGTGGCGCCCAGCGTGGGAGCTCCTGGCACGGAGAAGTTAACGAGGGAGCCGTTCGAGAGACAGCCGGCTTAAACTGAAAGTAAAAGCGAATTGAACCAGAGACCTCGGCCGAGGAGTGAGTAAACTAAATCAAGGATTAAAGCTTAAAGCAACAGGACATTAAATTAAGTACCGAGACCTGTGCAGACGACTACCTGACGTCCTGCGACTACCCGACGTCCTGCCCGAGTCATGGTGAGTGAACGGCAACCCCATTTCCCTTCCCAGACATGGGTCAAGTATTGAGCGAACACGAAGTGTTCGTCGGAGGTCTTATAAAGGCATGAAAGACAAGAGAGATAAGGGTTGGAACAAAAGAATTATTGCAGTATTTTCAATTTATTCATAAGGTTTGCCCTTGGTTCCCCCTAGAGGGTTCTATAGATACCAAGAGGTGGAATAGAGTAAGAGATGCTTTAAAAGATTATTATAGAGTTTTCGGTCCAAAAAAGGTTCCTGTGACCACCTTTACATATTGGAATTTAATCTCTGAGCTGCTTGCCCAGAGGCATGCAGACCCTCAGGTTGAGGAGACAGTTACACTAGGTGAGGCTGCCCTGCCGACTCCATTAAATCTACCTCAAAACCATCCTCAGAAAAATCCGAAGCCTCTAATTTCTCAGATGCAGAAAATGATGGCCTGTT